CCCGCGGGCTCGGGCCATCCACTCACCTCAGCCTCCCAAAGGCGCGGGATGACAGGCTGAGCCACCGAGTCCGGCTATTTACTTATATTTTTAATTTTTGAGTTGGAGTCTCACTGTTGCCCAGGCTGGAGGGCAGTGGCATGCTCGTGGCCACCGCTGCCTCAGCCTGCTGGGCTCAGGTGATCCTTTTGCCTCAGCCTCCCAAGTAGCTGGAACTACAGGCACGCAGCACCACGCCTGGCTCATTATTTTGATGTATTGTAGATGCCAGGTCTCGCCAAGTTGCCCAGGCTGGTCCTGAATCCCTGGGCTCGGGCCATCCTCTCGCCTCTCTGCCTCCCAAAGTGCTGGGATGACAGGCGTGAGCCACCGCGCCCAGTTCTGTCTCTACTCAAAGAAAAAAGAAAAGAAAAAAGACCTGCAGAAGTGTCGATTGAGTGATGCCCATTTTGCTGACGGGATCATTGCGGCTTGGCAAGGAGAAGCGACCTCCCAGGGGTCACACAGCCAGTGAGGCTCCAGCCCTGGCCGCAGGGTCCCCGGGGCAGTTGATCATACACGTGCCCGTGCTGAAAAGGTTCTCACCCGCCTCTTTTGTCCCCAGCCCTGCAAGGAGCCACCCGCCTGTGCGTGCAGCAGCGATCCACACCCCTGGAGGTGAAGCAGGGTGATCGGGCGACCCTGGAATGCTGGGTGACCCAGGCGCCCCCCTGGGAACGGCTCCGGGTGGGGTGGACCAAGGATGGAGACGTGCTGTGCCAGCCGTACGTCACCAATGGTAGCCTCAGCCTGGCGGCCTGCGGGCCCCGGGGACAACTCTCCTGGCAGGCGCCCGGCAACCTCTCCCTGAAGCTGGACCCTGTGCGTGTCAATGACAGCGGCCACTACATATGCTGGGCGGTCATGGAGATCCCGGAGCTGGACAAGGCCGACGGCAACGGAACGCAGCTCCTGGTAGACCCAAGTATGAGGGGCGGAGAAGGTTCTGGAATCTTCAGGCTTTTTTATTTTTTTGAGTCGGAGTCTCACTCTGTCCCCCAGGCTGGAGGGCAGGGGCATGCTCATGGCCACCACAGACTCGACCAGCCGGGCTCTGGCGATCCTTCTGCCTCAGCCTTCTAAGTAGCTGGAATCACAGGCATGTGCTGCCATGCCCAACTAATTTTTGATTTATGGTAGAGATGAGGTCTCATCAAGTTGCCCAGGCTGGTCTCGAACCTGTGGGCTCAGGCAAT